GGTGCAATCTCAGCTCACTGCAGCCTCCGCCTCCTGGGTTCAAGTGATTCTCCTACCTCAGCCTCCCAAGTAGCTGGGACTACAGGTGTACACCACCATGTCCGGCTGATTTTTGTGTTTTTAGTAGAGACAGGGTTTCACCATGTTGGCCAGGCTGGCCTCTAACTCTTGACCTTGAAAAGCGCTAGGATTATAGTCGTGAGCCACCATGCACAGCTAGTTACTATTTTTGATCAAGTACATGGGATAGGCTTAGTAAACGGTGGCTATCAGTTACTATTTTTAATCATCATTCCCAACACACTATATGGCTTCTTAAAGACTCCCACAATTCTATGAGATGAGCAAGGAAAGAGGAATCTGGTAAATGACCTTTAGGGGCCCATAGATAAGGAGGGGTAGAGTCAACCAATCATTCCTGATGATTATGTCAAAAACCTACTGAAGTATTCAGGCTCCAAAGCTGAAATTTCACATGAGGAGATAGCTGTGTGCAGGGTACTCTACTCAGAGCTTTTCCTGTCTGAACTCTCTGAATGTGTAGTAACAACAAAGGTACTATTATTACCACCCCTGTTTCACAGACGAGAAAACTGAGGAAGTGTGAAGGTAAATAACTAACAGTGACAGTGTCAGAAATCAAACCCAGCATTTTATCTCTAGCACTGGTGTTTCCGACCTCCACGTGAAGGAGTTGGCCTGTCATCATTTTAAGATTCTTGAAGATTCCTCCTTTGCAAGGAGATATGGGCAAATAACAAAAGTAAGAACAACTTGGACCTTGTCAGATAACACAAGAAACAGCTTTGTGTATTTGTATACACACTTCCTCAGCTTGCTGTGAGGATCAAATGGGAACAGTGACTAAGACAGCAAGCTCAACGCAAGTGTGGGCCAACAGGGTGGCCATGTTCACCATTCATCAAGTGGAGCCTCTCCCAGGCTACACATTTATACATGTGAGCTTGTCACCCTGCAGAGATAGCCTAATTCTAAAAATATGTTTCTTAGGTTTAATTATACAAATAAAACCAGGAAGGGTGAGGTTTATTATTGTTTTAAAAGGAAAACAACACTTATTGAGAAAAAAAGAATTGAATTAGCAGACAATATATTATAAATGAAATCTAGAGAGATACTTTCAATGAGACAAAAATAGTAAGACATTTTAAAAATGAAATTATTTTT